ACAAACCGCTCACCAGTCAAAATGGAAGCAGTGCTTAACAATATTCTATATAACATTGCAAAGGCAGTGAAAAGTGACTATTCAAATTAAATATAAAAACCATTTATAAAAACACATCAGAATTTTATTGCTTGAAGAATACAGCATAAGAAAAAAAAAAGCACAAGAACGTCCAAAGAAAAGGTCACAAGGAACCAAACATCCTATCCCATACATACCAGATGCAGTAAAATGTTAACCTGAATTCTGCATCAGAAAAAACAAGTGTGAAATACCTAATTTTGTTTACTTAAAAGAAAAACGACTCATTAAAATAGAAAGTGTAAGGTGTTATAATACAAATTAGAAAAGCCAACACTGCACATTAACATTGTTTCACTAGACTAGATTTACTACCTTTGGTACGTAAGTGTTAACAGAAAACCACTTAGTCAAATCTTGTCCAACATATTTCATGAAAATTTTCAACTTAACAGTCAAATTAATTTTTACTTTCAACCATCACTGCACAGATGCATTTAGAAAATGTGCAAGTGTATTAGATACTTAACCTCACGCTTCTAAGATTGAAATCAAAAGGCCCTGGGCAATCGTTGAGCTGAATATATGCCAACTGTACCTTGGTCATATCTCTACTTAACATAGGCACACTGTTTTCTGTTTACTTCACTATGTAAACAGATTGGTGCACCCACAGCTCTTATTCAAAAATATTTCACCAGAGAAACTTGTCAAGATCACACTAAGAAGTTTTTTTTTGTTTTAAAGAAAAGAATGCATTCTTACACAGCTATTTAATCAGACCATCTGTACTAGTATACAAGTGGCTTTTCCATTCTGTTGGAAACAAGAGTACTCGAATAAAGGCCAAAATTTCTTCTTTAAACATTAAAATTCTATAATGGATACAACTGTGCTCTAACAAAGAACAGCTGCCCATCCATTTATATAAACAGAATTTTCAAAGTCAACCTCACAAAAAGACTTTTCTCTTTCCTGATCCATATGGTGCTGATTACTCATAGGGCATCCTTTCCTAACTAAATTGGACAGAATCCTTTGTACCTACTAATCTGTTTGAATGTTATTGTTTCACAAGGTAGCTGAGGAATTCATTGGTAAACTAGTCTGGAAAACGTTAACATTATGCTGACAACTAATCAGGGTTAAATAAAAATCCCTCTTTTACTGAAAGCATGTTCATTAGCTTCAACTTGTGCCTTTTTAGGCTTGAACATTTAATAATTCCCAGTTAAGTCAATGGAACCAACACAATTCTGTTTCACCAAGTTCCAGCTTTACATTTGAACAATATGAACATGTCTGAACTACGCAATACCATCAACAACAGTTAACATTAAATTGGAGTGAAAGAATAAGAATTATTAGCGCTCTACACTGGGCAGTCTTTGAAATGAAATATCCATTTGGTTCAGGACTCTTCACATATGTCATAATAAAATCATGGGTTTATTTTTTCACCCCCTATACAAAAAATGACAGAATTTCTACAGGTCCTATTAAACATACCTATTCCTAGCTTAGTGAAAATTATCCTTTCAAATTTGTAATAAATGTGGTATTTGAGCACATATAATATTTATTGCCATATATATATATCCTCATTTTAAAAAAGACAAAGATTTCAGACTTTACTGTGCTGACCTCTTTGCTTTTTTCATTACATATTTAAGTGTCTACTGAACCACTCCCACCCCCAAAAAAACAATTAAAAATTATCTATGTAAGATTTTATAGTTTAGTTAAAAGGGAAGAGAAATGCAAATATGGATTTAGAGCTTCTGTATAAATCTCACTATTTTATAAACTTGTTTATTTTAACACTGTTATTGATCAAATAAATGACGCACTGCTATCTAAAATTTCCATATACACCATTAAAAATCCAAAGTTGATATGATATTGAACCTTAATCTCTTAAGAGTTCAAAAACATTTTTTTACATGGACAACTCACAACAGCAGACATCCCTAGAATACCAATGGCCAGTCCAAGATGCATACAAAATTACAGGTAAGCATTCATTTCACTGTTTTCATTGTGCAGGAAAGATATTTCTCAGTAGAAATAGAAACTCAGTTGGTGAATTTCAGATATCATCTTCATCATCTTCATCCTGAGAGGACCCTGCCTGATTGGATGCACTGGCTGACGCAGCAGCAAGTTGTGCTTGTTGGGCTGCTTGTTGCATCTGTAGCCATTCCTGTTGGGCCAGTTCTGCTTGTTGCTGTCTAGCCTGAAGACATAAAAACGAAACTGTTAACAAAACCCAAGTCTTTGTAAGGAATTACTACCAAACTGGCAAAGATTACATTAGTGGTCTAGCAGAGACAGGAGCAAAGTAGAAGATTTATACACAAAAATAATTACTGTACATAAACGGTGTTCAACACACTGCAATGCTTTGTACTGATATTAAGGTTTAGCTATTATTTCCCTCTAATCCATAACCTAAACTCCTTACTACTGTAACAGTACATTTTTTGTGGTATCGCTATAAACTATTTTTATGGTTTGCTGTACAACTACAGCCATCATTTGGAGCATTTATGCTCAAAAATCCAGAGGTTAGGGTTCATAAAAAAGTACTTGGAAAAAACTCAATTTTGGAGGTTGCACACAGCCTCCATTTGGAGCAGCACCATTTTCAAATGAAAAATGAATATTAGAGCAGCACCATTTTCAAATGAAAAATGAATAATTTTGCCAAGTGGCTAGAAATGCAACAATGAACAATTCCCTCTACCTCTTACCCACATTGCCCCAGAAATACTGACCAGAATTCCAGGATTTAAGGAAGAAATTATTAAAATGGGAGTTCTAATTAAAGAAATTTTCATCTTAAAGACAGTGCAGACAGATTAGGATGGTCCTAATACTTCCCATGTTTAGAAACCAATTCACTCTGAACATTCATGTGTTACTTGTGACCTAAAACAAGGCATGAAATCCAATAAGGAAAAATGGAAAGTGAGGAAAGTGAAACATGCACAATATGTTATAGTTTGAAAGTGTGAGAACTAGAGAAGTGATGTAACAATATTTCTCTAATATCAGGCCTAGCCTTTTCTGTAGCTAAATTCAGTCCTAACCTCCATCTCTCACTTCTATTTAGCTTCCTTCTGAAATAAGAGTATAAAAGTTTTCCCCAGCTCCAAAAAATTACTTGTTTTTATTACATAAATTCCAGGAATGTTAAATATCGTTTCTGTGGATGAATTTTCCTGATTCTCAGACATATATTGTGAGTTCATCTTCCTCATTTAAAGGAGAGGGGATATTTGATAGGAAGTCTCTCAAATTATTGTTAGTACTGAACTGAAGTTGAGAGTATAAAAAGTACAAAGTAAAGAGTTTGATTAGTGGACCTCTCTCCCCCCTCAACTGTCAGCTTTCACTTTCTTGCGATGTCATAATTTTTCTAGTACTTTAATCTCTACAGTTGCCTCCAGGATAGTTTAAACTACTATTGGGCATTTCCCCCCTCTTTATAGGAAACTTTAAACGTTATGTGCACACTTCGATTCATTTTGAAATGTCCATAACTTGACTATCAGGCAGAAATTTTCTGAACCTTCTTTTTACCTAAGGATGGTATTTTGCAACATTTCAACAGACAACTTAGTCGGTCAAAAATGAATACAAAAAGATACTGTCCCCATTCGAAGAGTTGTGACAGTTCGTTGAAGAGCTCAAGTACAAATGTGCTGGATTTTTTTAAAAGTTGATGTTTGCAAATAAAACAATCCTCACTAAGAAGAAGCTTTAAGTGTTTACGTTTTTTAAAAAGTTGATGTTTTTTTTTTTAAAACAATCCTCACTAAGAAGAAGCTTTAAGTGTTTACGTTATGCACTCACCAGGGTTTGAAAGAGAATTACTTTATTCACAGTCAATACTTTGATACACGTTTAGCCCTTTTACATGGTGTTCTAAAGAAACAAAGGCAACACCTACATACATTAGTAGAGGATATGCATGTTTAAGATATACATTCAATGTGACAGTGGTCCATAAGTGTTAATAGCTCTACAGCAGTTTCTCTTAACTTTTCTGATACCAGGGACCAACTTGCTGCCTTCCTAAACTGTCATGAAGATCTCATGGAACCAAAAACACTGCTCCACAGGATAGTGCATTTTCTGCTGAATAGATAATTGTGGTGGCACCTAATATTGCCAAATTATACAACCACCATTCCCCATCCTTTTTCTTTTGAAAATTCTGGAAACTACATAAAGTTGCATAGTTAAGAACTCAGTCAGGAACTCAGCCAAAATTAAGATGTCCTCAAACTTAAATCTGCTCCCTCATGCCATAATGTAGCATGCCAGTCTTTAACGGCTCATGTCTCTTCTCAAATATTACCACACTCAATTTTTCCTATCAACTTCAACTTAACATTAACAAATGAGGACACTTCTTGATTTGGATTTATTCATTAAGTTACCTTTGTACATAAACAAAAAATAGGGCCCTGATCTTACTAATACTTATGCGCATGCATAATTTCTCAGATATACAGATGAATATTTTAAGTGTGATTGTCATGTAAGCAGTCAGTATTCCTTCTGTATAGAACCACTAGTAAATTGTGGAACATTAATAGGAATAATCACATGCATGAATTGTGCACATGCATAAGTATTTGCAGGACTAGAGTGCAAGTACAGCACTTGTTCCAACAATACTACTTTGATATACAGTTGAATAAAATGCACTGTTTTAGAATCGCAGAGATATTTGCATATTATCAAAGAAGGAACATTTTAAGTTTCATTTATTGACTGAATACACAGACTAATAGTGACTTGCATGTACTGACAATATTAGAATGCATTTTTATTAATTGCTAATAAATAAAAAACTAAATCCATACCTTTAGAGGCCAGTGTCTAGATTAGACAATTTAAAATTAGGTAAAAAAACCAGGGCTAAATTGAGAACACCTCTTTACATGTAGTTTCAGTTAACTGTTTTAATTTCCTGTTTATATTGCTCTGAGTAATATCCCAATCTCACCCACCTTTATGGCTTTTGACCTGTATAGAGTACAGTTTTATTAAAGTTATCCACATTAAACTTCATTGCATTAAACATAAAAGAACATAAAAAACTTAATGAACAAACCCATTTGGTATAAAACCAAACACTGCTTCTGCAGCAGTCGCATTGGCTTTTTTTAATGTTACCACAAGGTTGGGAGGGGAGGAGAGAGGGAATATTTGTTAATTTGTCACAATATACACCACTATGTGTGTTAGCCATTTGATAAATTTTTAAACCTGGTGAAAACTTCAACTGTCTCCTCATCTAGTTAGCTATAATGTACGTGGCACTTTACAACAAACAAATAAAAAAATTTTTGGTTGTGGGACCACATGAATTTCAGCAAGGTCAGAGAGAAGCAGGTTGCAACTAAGATGTGAGATCACCAGACTGAATAAATATTTTCACTTATGGAACAGGAAGAAAAAGACAGATGAACTTTTAAAATCATGTAAAAGACAAAAAGCAATATGATTTGCATATGGCCTGGATATGAGAAGTGCAAGAGGGAAGAATTGCAGATGATTGCCGAATTACAAGTCTTGCAGAATAGCAGTGGTGCCAGTTACAGAATGGGAGAAGAGAGGATGGTTTTGGTCTTAGCCAGTCACCTGAGTTGTCCTGTAAACCATCTCAGAGGAAGTGCTGGTAGGAAAAGCTGAGATGAAGGATCTTGTCTCGTGTTAGGACAAGCACAGAGAAATATATTTGAATTATCTTAGAATTCCTAAATAAATCAACATCATTAGACAGTGACAGTCAAGAGTAAAGGGAAAACAGCTGGGGAGACAGGCTAGATATTAATAAAAATGTTCTAGTTAGAAGGGCAGTTTAGCTCTGGTCTAACATATCCTTAGAAACCACCAAGGACAGGGATTTCCCAATCTCTCTTATAAACTAGAGCTTCTCAACTTTGGAAGCTCCGGGGGCCACAATGATCCTCACAGCACATGCTTAGGGCTGCAACTTAAGTGTGGTTGCATATACATGCAAATATATATGAAAATACATGCAAATAGCTTCTTTCACACTGATAGGCATGAATACAAAGATTAAGGCAAGACTACACAACACACAGGGCCCATTTAAGTCAGTTCTGCTGATATTAACAAAATGCATTATTTATCTGATTTCCACCCATACAACACTTTTAATGAGCAATGACAGTCAAGGAATGTAGCTACTAAAACACATATCAACAGAAGACCATTATATTGACTACTTTTTTGTTTTGGCTTCTACCCGCAGGCCATGTGTTGAGCCCCGTGTAACCCAAACCACACCATGGGCCGCAAACAAACAGGTTGTGGGCCGCATGTGGCCCATGGGCCATGTGTGGAGTAGCCCTGGGTCAGACAAACGTTTTTGAAATGGCCCATGTATAGGTGAGCCTGCCGCAGCACAAGAGGATGTCAAAGTCTCTTTCGGCACTACATTTCTAGGATTACAATTTACAGATTTTGATATTTTTCTAAAATATCAGTTGTCATTCCCCTTTATCTGTATAACTGGACTAAATACAATATGGTAGTACAGATAAAGGAATATAAAAATTAGTTGAAGTAACTTTTTTAAAAAAAGAACGGTTACTTACCTGTGACTGTTGTTCTTCGAGATGTGTTGCTCATGTCCATTCGAATTAGGTGACTTCCAAGCCAACCCCAATTCAAGGAGGAGGGGTCGGAGCAGTCAGAAACAGAAGTCCACAAAAAGTTGAACAACCCAAACAAATTTATTCAATCAAGCGAACACAGAAAAACTGTATAAAGTGCAATGTGACACTGATAAACCAAACATACTTACAATACAGAGCTGAGGACTGCAGAACCCACCCCTGCATCTTCCCTGGCCTGTTGCGCCAGCGCGTAGTGCGCCGTAAAGGTATGGAGTGACGACCATGTGACTGCCCTGCAGATTTCAGTGCTTGGAACCTGCGCCCCAAAAGCTACAGAGGACGCCTGCGCCCTGGTAGAGTGTGCTGTAACCCGGGGCGGGACCTTCCCGGCAAGGGCATAACATTCCCTGATGCACCCTGCAACCCAGTTGGACAACCTCTGGGTTGAAATGGGGAGCCCTTTCACCCTGTCCGCCACAGCAATAAACAGCTGCTGAGATCTGCGAAAGGGTTTGGTCCTATCAATATAAAAAGCTAGTGCAAGCCTAGCATCCAGGGAATGGAGCACCTGCTCCTTGGGGGAGGCGTGGGGTTTTGGAAAGAAAACCGGGAGGTAAATTTCTTGGGACAAATGGAATGGTGACACCACTTTGGGAAGAAAAGCTGGATGGGGGCGGAGCCTCAAGTTATTGTCAGAGAACGCCAGGTAGGGTGGATTTATATTCAATGTCCTCAATTCGGAAACCCTGCGAGCCGACGTAATGGCCACAATGAATGCAACATTCAAGGAGAGGTGCTTCAAAGAACACGTGGCCAGCAGCTCAAAGGGGGCGCGACATAAGTCTAAACAACATGAGGTTGAGGTCCCAAGCGGGGAGAGGGGGGTCTAACCGAGGGATACAATTTATCCACACCTGTAAGGAACCTTTTGACCACAGGGTCAGAGAACAGAGAAACTCCTGCCGAACCAACATGGAAGGCGGAGAGAGATGCCACATGGACTTTGATAGAAGAGATAGAGAGGCCACTAGACCTAAGTTCAAAAAGACAGTCCAGAATGGACGGGACAGGAGCACAGGACGGGTGCACTCCCCTTCGGGATGCCCAAGATGAGAAGGCCGCCATTTGGCAGCGTACGACCGTCTGGTTGAAGGTTTCCTACTACTTAGGAGCACCATCTGTACCTCTTGGGAACATTCCCTTTCATGTTGGTTCAACCATGGATAAACCAGGCCATTAGGTATAGAGTCTTGATATTCGGTTGAACCATGGTCCCCCTGTCCCACGGTTGGGTCAAGAGATTCCGGGCTGGTGGGAGCGTTATAGGCTCCTTGGTGAGCATGTCCACCAGTATGGGGAACCAGAATTGTCTGGGCCACCTGGGGGCTATCAGGATGACCGTGGACCCAAAGGTCTTGACCCTGGTCAGAACCCTGGGAATTAGGGGGAATGGGGGGAAAGCATAAAGGATGCCTGCCAGCCACGTAACCATCATGGCATCCCCCCAGGAGTGTTCCCCTAGCCCCAACAGGGAGCAGTAACTCTGACACTTGGTTTTGCGTGCCGAGGCAAACAGGTCTAGTAGGGGATAGCCCCACCTGCGGAAGATCTGACGAAGGACTGAGTCCTTGAGAGACCACTCGCGGGCTCCGAAGGACCTGCTCAGAGCATCGGCCAGCAAATTTTTGCACCCTGGCAGGTACTCTGCCTGCAAAGCGGGTCAAAGAGGTTCCTGAGGATCCCGACCTGAGGGATGTCGCATCGGAATCCGACGAATAATCGGACTCTGGCCAGGGAGGCTGTGACGAGAAGTGATCTGTAACCGACAGAGGGGCAAACCTAGCCATGGACTCGGGCTTCCCCGCATGTACACGGTGGGGAGGTGCCGGTGCGAGGAGGTACAGAGAAGGGGATGCCGCTGCACACCACAGACTCCTGAGTTTACTATTGCAGCGAAACTATTACCTCCGGGGGCACCGTAAGAACCGTGTCCCAGAGGCCCCTGGATTGGTTGAATGCCATTGCCAGCCAAGCCTGCAGAGGTCTGAGCCTCACCCGAGCATGGCATACCACGTACGTGCATGCTGCCATGTGCCCCAGCAACCTTGAGCAGACCCGGGCGGTCATTATAGAGGACCGAGTTAATTCGGAGACAAGCTCCACTATGGCCAGGAACCTGGCCCTGAGGAGAAGCGCCCTCGCTAACCTGGCGTCGAGGAGGGCACCCACGAATTCAAGGTGCTGAGAGGGGGTCAACGATGACTTTTCCTCATTCAAGCATGAGTCCCAGCCTTACGAAAAGGGCCCTTGTGAGGGACACGTGGGCCTCTACTTGTTCATAGGAACGACTACGAATTAGCCAGTCGTTCAGGTAGGGGAACACGTGCACTCCTGATCTGCGGAGGAACGCCGCCATGACTGCCATGCACTTTGTAAAAACCCTGGGTACTGTAGAAAGGCCAAATGGGAACACAGTAAACTGGAAGTGGCACCGGGAGACAATGAAACAGAGGAATCTCCTGCGGCAGGGTCTTATCGCCACATGGAAGTAAGCATCCCTGAGATCGAGAGTGGCGTACTAGTCTCCTAACTGTAGAACCGGAATGACAGAAGCCAGGGTCACCATTCTGAATTTGGATTTTACGATCGCTTTGTTGAGGTCCCTTAGATCTAAGATGGGATGGACCCCGCCCTTGGATGTGGGAACTAAGAAATATCGGGAGTAAAAACCCTTGCCCTCCAGGTGCGGTGGAATCCTCTCTACCGCCCCCTTTTGGAGGAGCGTCAGTACCTCCTGGCGGAGGGTGTCTTTGTGAAAATGTCCCTGAAAAGGGATGGGAAAGGAGGGTTGGAAGGGGGTGAGCTCAGAAAGGGGATGGTATAGCCACTCCTGACTATGTTTAAGACCCAGGCATCGTTTGTGATTTTTGCCCAGGCTTGAGCAAACCGGGATAACCTGGCCCCAAATGGGGGGCCAGGGTGGGAGGCTGGTGCGCAACTCTCTGGGAGCTGGTCAAAACGGTTGTTTGTGCTGTTGGGAGGGACGTTGACCAACCCCACGGGGGTTGTCTCCTCTCGGGCGACGCCTACGCCCCCTTGAGGCCGAAGGGCCCGCAGCCGCCCCCGTACTCCCACCGGAAGCACGAGGACGGCGTCTCCAGTATTCCCCACGGGGGATCTGGGACTGCGGTCTCCCCTGCTGTCTGTAGGGCAGCTGACGACGCTGAGGAGCTGGTGTGTGGATCCCCAAGGACCGAAGGGTAGACCTCGTGTCCTTGAGCATACGGACCCAGACACTTCAGATACACACACCCTCGAGTCTGTATGCCCCGAGAATAACACCTTGCTCTCGAAAGGCAGATCTTGGATAGTAGACTGGACATCAGGAGATATTCCAGACACTTGCAGCCAGGCACCACGGCGCATGACCACACCTGACGCCATGGTGCGGGCTGCAGAGTCAACCGCGTCCAGGGAAGCCTGGAGGTCTGTACGGGCGATGGCCTTACCCTCAGAGGTCATGGCCGCAAACTCCTGACGGGACTCGGCAGGGAGCTTATCCTTGAACTTATCCATGGCCTGCCAGGTATTAAAAGCATAACGACTTAGCATCGCTTGCTGAATAGCAATGCAGAGTTGCACCCCACCAGTGGTGTACACTTTCTGGCCCATTAAGTCAAGGCGTTTGGGCTCTCTAGCTTTAGGGGACAGCCCCACTGGGGGAGCTTTTCCCTGTGGGCCGCTGCCTGGACAACCAAGGACTCAGGGACAGGTTGGGAGTACAAGTGCTCGTGCCCTGACTGGGGAACATAGTAGCACCTCTCGACACCCTTTAAGGTAGGGGTCAGGGTCGCCGGTGTTTGCCACAGGGCATTGGTAATTTTAGCCACCGTTTTATTAAGTGGCAAAGCCAAACGGGCGGGCGCGTCATCCGAAAGGATATCAACCATCGGATCTGTGTCCTCCACGACAGGTTCCACCGGGACACCTAGGTTGGAAGCCAGACGCCGGAGCAGTTCCTGATGCACACGGGCATCCATAGTAGGCAGGGCCGGCGTATGATGACCATGACTCCTGTATCGATGCCAGATCTACCGCAGGAGCCACGTGCGGTACCGGTTGGACATACAGCACCGCTTGCGGGCATGTCTCCAGCACCGAGGCCTGTGCCTGTGCCGCAAGGTCTGATGTAGGCGGCCTCTGGGGGGAAGGAGGAGGTCGTGACAACGACGCCGATGGTTGCTTTCGGCGACCCGAAGCATTCGACATGACAGAGGGGGGCACGGGCCCCTGCCACTGGTGGCAAGCCCACGGTGTCCAGAAAGGCCATTGCGGATGAGGCGGCCAAGTCTGCTGCACCCGTGAATGATCACGTCGGTGCCGGGAATGGGATCTTATAGTAGGCAGTGCTGGTGCAGGATCCGCCAGGGCTTCATCAGGAGACTATGATGACCATGACTCCTGTATCGATGCCAGATCTACCGCAGGAGCCACGTGCGGTACCGGTTGGACATACAGCACCGCTTGCGGGCATGTCTCCAGCACCTAGCCATGGACTCGGGCTTCCCCGCATGTACACGGTGGGGAGGTGCCGGTGCGACCAGTGCTGGTACGACCGGTGCCGTTGGAGGTGGCTGTTGCAGCATCGGGAGAACAGGAGGTTGTTGTGGCACTGGGGGAGCTGAAGCATGCTGCGGTACCGGGGGGACCGATGGCTGTTGCGGCACTGGGGGACGTAGGCCCGGTGCCGAGAGCCGCGTCATGCTGCGGTACCGGGGGGACAGATGGCTGTTGCGGCACAGGGGGACCTAGGCCCGGTGCCGAAAGCGGTGTTGGCGCCAAAAGAGGTGCTGGGAGGCCCAGTCCCGGTGCCAGTTGCATCTCTGGCGCGGAGCATAACGGTGCCGAGACGAACCCCGAAGAGGACGACATCACCGTCGGCTGGGGCACCGGCAAGGTCCACATGGCCGGTGCCGGTGCTTACGACGGTGTCAAGACGTGCGTCGGTGCTGAAGAGCCCGGTGCCGACGATTGGAGGCACAGTCCCGGAAAGGTACTCTGAGCCAGCATCAAAGTTGCATCTCTGGCGCGGAGCATAACGGTGCCGAGACGAACCCCGAAGAGGACGACATCACCGTCGGCTGGGGCACCGGCAAGGTCCACATGGCCGGTGCCGGTGCTTACGACGGTGTCAAGACGTGCGTCGGTGCTGAAGAGCCCGGTGCCGACGATTGGAGGCACAGTCCCGGAAAGGTACTCTGAGCCAGCATCAAAGGTGACGGTGCCGCAGACGTTGCCACAAGGCTAGGGTGGTACGTCACCGGTGCAGCCAAACAGGGGGCCGGGAGAGAACCCAACACCGAGGTAGGTCGAGCCCAGTCGGGTGCAGAGTGAGGCTTAGGAGCCGGCGTCGAGAACAACGTCGATGCCGAGGCAAGCGGTACTGGTCCCACCAGGGACGGTCCCGTCATATAAGTGGCCTGAGCCTGCCGGTCATGCCAGTGTGGAGGCGAAGCCAGAGCCAACACGGCCTCTGGCATGGGTGACCTCGACCCTTCTGCCTCAATTGACGACGGAGGGGAGGTGGTGAGACTGATGAGGTCCTGAGCCGCCTCAAAGGTACCCAGCGTGGACGGGCGGTGCGGGGGTAGTTGCCCTGGGCTGGTAGCCTGAGCCTGCCGGTCATGCTGGTGCGGAGGCGAAGCCCGAGCCAACACGGCCTCTGGCGTAGGCGACCTCAACCCTTCCGCCTCAACTAACGACAGAAGGGAGGTGGTGAGACTGATGAGGTCCTGCGCCGCCTCAAAAGTGTCCAGCGTGGACAGGCGGTGCGGGGGCAATTGCCCTGGGCTAGAGGGGCGTTCCGTTCGCTTACGCCGCATCGCAGAGAATGTGTGCACTGGTGAGTTGGCACCACGGTGCAGAGCCGGTGTGGTTTTCCGAGACGGGGACCTCCCACGGGACTCTCTTGCCCTCTTCGATGCTGGAGAGTGAGACCGGTGCTGGGTTCTCGACGCCGAGGTCTGGGACCGAGGCAGGGCATCCCGCGTGGACGATGGTGCATTGTGCACGGCGGGGGGCCAGTCGGTGCCGTCTCCATGAGGAGAAGTTTTAGTGCGCGGCTTGAAAGATTTACAGATCTTACAGGCGTCTGTAAGGTGGCTCTCACCCAGACACTTCAGATAGCTGTCGTGTGGGTCTCCTTTGGGCATCAACTTTGCGCAGACAGCCTTGCGGCCCTGGCATTCCTCACCCCTGAAGGGGAAGGAAGAACAAAGAACAAAGTAGACACTAACTACCTAACTAATTGAACTATCTACAATGCTAAGAGAAACGGGAACTATTAACTAAGCTAAGAGAGACGCGCTCCAACGACCGTCACGGGTGGTAAGAAGGAACTGAGGTGGGGCAGCGCATTAAATCAGGAAGTATCTAGTTCATTTAACCTCTCTGATAGATTTTTCTTTGTTTGTTTCTCTTTTTTCAATTAACAGGAAAAAAATATCACATTAGATATCTTGGTCAGAAATATTGCCTCACTCACTGTTGCAAAT